TAGTCGAGGTGATGTATTACTTTTGTCAAGGCGTTATGAAGAGGTCGGCATTTCATGGCCAAGCGAGGTGCTATGCACGTTGCATAGAGTGAATCCAAGGCAATAGGCCTCCTTGATTGATAAAAGGCATCTCTCGCTTCACCTCTTTCAAGAAATCTTTCTAGAGTTAATTGATGTGATATCTCTGCAACAAACGTCTAAAATGTCAAATTGTCAATCTACTTTTCAAAGATTTGACATAGAATCTTAGGTGGTCACTTAAATGACAATCAATCTATGATTGATAATTGATTCCTAGGAACCATCAAGATGAGATCACGTATATTTCCATCCAACGATCAATATTCTACCTGTTCTACAATAAAAGTTTACACTTAGTTCATTTGAAAGTAATGCAATTTTGTACATTCAACTATAACATTACTCTCTTTCATTTTCATATATTGATACAATATCCTGATGTGTGAACACCTATGTAGCTAACATATAGCACGTCCTACACCCAATACATTACTTCGCATTAACTAACTTGATCGTTGAAGTGCTCGTAGCCACCTCCCCTACCACCTCGAAGGCCACGTGAAATTAAAGATTTGTCCACCTGTACATGGATGTGAGTCGAGTTAGGATATGTTGGTCATGTCATTCCTACAAAAATCGAGGTCACACATATTCCATAAAAGTACTAATCAAATTGTAAAACATGAATTTTAATAATATTATCATGTTTGCAAAGAAATTTATGATACTATAACATGACAATGACAAAATCAAGAATATTTGCCCTAATGGATTGCTGGGACGATTTTTAGTGAATTTTAAGAATAATTTGGACCGTTGAAATAGTTTGTGGGTCTTTATGCAACCATCATTATTGACTCAACATCAAGCAAATATCCTAATATATCCATCTTTCAAATACAATGAAATAACTGTCAAAACGGCACAAAAGTAATTTTGCTTGGTTTGGTCAATAAATGCACGTCATAAATTTCAAGAAAACGATTTCAATGCCCGAGTAATTCTAGGATGGATGGGATATCAACCGAAGATCAAAATATTGCACTAATTGCTTGTAAATCATGCATGAATATTTGTACGTAGATTGAGAAGTTTTGGTTAAATGTAAAAATAAAAAGACTCTTAATCACTCAACTTATAATGAATTTTCAAGTTAGCGACGAAAGTTTATACAGTTATAAACTGTCATTGAATTTTGCCTTTTTATTTCAGTATGGTCACTCTATTAAAATTTGCAACCTTTTTTTTAACACAAATGTTTGATGTGGTAGATGACCATCTAATGTGGCATAGGTGACATGACGTGACATTTTTTAATTAAAATATTACATATTGTAACTTTGCCTTTTCTAATAAAACTCTTTAGCTCAACTTCCAATGTGCTTATAAGAATTTCTTATTATTACTTTTTGTTATGTTCAATTTTTTAAATTTTACGTCCAATTAATAGACGTCTTTTCTAAGACTCACGTTTGACGTATTCTTAATTATTTTCGATATCTGTTTAGACTATTCAATATGCCCATAATGTATTTCTTGAAATAAGTTTCGAAATGATATAAGTGATGTATAGATTCGATTAGCGTACGATCGTCGAGAAATTTTTAAAATTTACGTATATTATAGAAATTCAAATTTATTTTGATTTTACCCCCATTTTGTGGATATTAAAATTAAATTTTTAGTAAAATTTGATAAAAGTTAAACATTTCATAAAATATATTATTAAAATTAATTGTTAACTTTGATTTATATTAAAATTTAGATTTCATTCGATACTAAACATGATTGTATAAAAAAAAATTAACAAAAGACAAAAAAAAAAAAAAAA